AAATAAAGATGGAAGAGATGTGTTTTTAGCCGATTCTTGAAGATGGCTAAGGACTCAGCTGCTTGGATTGAGTTGGAAAAGTGTGGTTAAATGTGTTAAATGAGTTGGAAATGTGTTTATTTTTAAATGTGAGTTATTTTTGTTGAATAAAGGTTTGATGTTTGTATAACTGAGCTAATAGTTTTGATAAATATATTATATGTTTCAAGAAAATACAGTATGTTTTAACAATTGGAAAAAATTGCATTACATGAGAAAAAAAGCAATAATAGAGTGACATGAGAGACCACAGAGTATACATTCAGTTGAGACTCAAGATATTCTTTAATGTGTGACGTGACATGTGGCGACCCATACTCGGAATTAGTGCTCTGCATTTACCCATCCAAAGTGCACACACACAGCAGTGAACAAACACACACCGTGAACACACACCCGGAGCAGTGGGCAGCCATTTATGCTGCGGCGCCCGGGGAGCAGTTGGGGGTTCGGTGCCTTGCTCAAGGGCACCTCAGTTGTGGTATTGAAGATGGAAGAGAGCGCTGTACATTCACTCCCCCCCACCTACAATCCCTGCCGGTACGAGCAACCTTTGGGTTATGAGTCCGACTCTCTAACCATTAGGCCACGACTTCCCGTTTACATAACGTAATTTGAGTTTCAAGGGTTTATTAATCAAATGCACATCAAGCAGCATGTAAGAATAATCACTGGCAATTGAATATACTTTCCACAGGAGTCCTAGAGAAAACAAACTAAGGTAACAAAAGGTTATTAATGGAATGTTTGCAAAACATCAGCAAATAAAAACCGTCATTCTGACACGCTTTGATTTTTAGTTTTGGAAAACAAGTATCTTGTTTTAATTTTTCATAGTTCTGTCCTTCTGCTCAGGTTCAGTGCAGTCCCTTGATTTGGACACCAGGTGGGAGATAATGTCAGGATCCTTTTACTTATGTCAAATTTTGTTTATGATTTTCCGTGTCAGGATTCTGGCATCCATGTTGTGGCTTGTGTTTGTTCTTGATCTAGACCAGATATCAGGATCCTGCCAGTTCGGTCTGGTTTGGGTTCTCTGTGTTAGAATCCTATAGCTTCATGATATCTACCTTGTTGTGTTCTAGTTTTGCTCTACCATGGGCCATTTCCAGTTTTTGTTTTCAGTTCATTTGGCTGTAGTCTGGGCCCTGTTGTGTTTTTGCCTGAACAATTTCAGTTTTTTTTTTCCCTTTTATTAATAAAGAGTTTGAGTTCAGACAGCCTGTGCTTGGGTTCTGTTATCAATCAGCACAGTGTGCATAAAATTAATGTTCAGATTCCATTACTTACATTTGGTTTTTGACTAGATGTATTGATGCAGTCTACAACTGCAATAAGTGATGTCGATGTAGCTAGACCTGACCTTCTGATGACACCTGAGTTTATGTCCATGATATCTGGTAACCCACAATGAATAATGAGCTGAAATACCTTCCCTGACCCTGTAGGACTTCACACTACTAGGCAGGAGTTAATCCGATAACAGGCTATTATGCAATTAGTTGGCTATTGTCAATAGCGTGACTGGCCAAGATATTTAACGTCATGTAGCTATATTTAATATTTGAAAAAAGAGGCTCTAAAACCACAGGTGTATGTAAGTGTGTGTTTCATCTCTGAAGTGTCCTTTAATCTACGATTATCGCCATAGTTTCACTATTGTTCAGTCAGAGGTTGTTGTCCTGATGCACTGTCCTTGTTTCAACTTTCTCTCTTTATACATCCTCCGCACCATCTTTGATCAGGGCAATGACCATTATGTCATCCACAAACTTCTTCAATGACTTTAGTTTTGTAACACAATTATATGTGCATAAGGAAAACAGAAGTGGGCCAAACACAGAGCCTTGGGGGGCTCCATTGTTGGGTGAGCCTCAATAGAGTGTATTCAATTAAAAAGGAATAATTACTGGCTGACATGATGCTGGATTTACATTCTTGGTTCTGAAAGAACATTACAATCAACCAATTAAATTTTTAGGAACATAGAAAGAAGCTTGGATTAAGAGCTTGAAAATTCTGGACAGGTTATATTCTGGACTGGACTGGATTCGTATGAAAGAAGAAAGTCATATACACCTAGGATGCCTTGAGGGTGAGTAATTCATGGGCCAATTTAAATTTTTGGGTGAACTAACCCTTTAATATCACAACAGATCATCAAAATTCACTTTTTTTCAAACATTTCAGCATATTTTCAAATATGTTAGTACAATAAACTATAGTAATTGCTGTTAGAGATTTTAGTCAGAATAAAACAATACTGAAAAATCCCAATTACTTTTTTTTTTTTTTTTTACCTGGTGATCACAACTGGATAGCTTATTCGTACAAATTTCTGCGAGCATTTGCAATATGCAAACATGGAGAAGGATAGACTGGAAGACCTGTTGCGGATCAAAGAGGTAGACGTGGATCCAGCTAAACAGGTAGGCATGGGCCTCAACAAAGAAGTGGTCATCAGAGGAACATAGGCAGAAGACAGCGTACTGTTATTTTAAATGAAGTCCAGGCCATATTTTAGCCTGGACAACTTGGGGGAATCATCTCAATGTGTGCAACTATATGTGAAGACAGTGTGGTAGTCTGTAGACCATTTCTTGGATGCAGCACTGAACACCCGATAGCTTTTCTGGAAGAATTTGAACAGGCCTGTCACAGTGAAGACATCAGTTATGTTATTGTGTGGGAAAATCAACCATTTTGGAGTGGTTTCAGGCTTATCCTTGGTTCATGTTCCTATATCTCCCACCATATTCCCCTTTCCTCAACCCAAACTCTTTGCTGCTTGGAGGTGAAAGGTGTACGATCACCATCCCCATAAGCATGCCACGCCATGCAATGACATAACTGCACAGCAATGTCAAGCCTGGACCCATCATGCCAGAAGGTTTTTATCATGGTGCTTGAACAAAGAAGATATTCACTGTGATCTTGATGAATGTATGGCCAAATGTGTAGGACAGGCTTGATGTCAATTCATTTGATATTCCCTATTTAGAGTAAAGTGTTTAAATTTATTGTTTGACAATGCAACCACTGTATTGTAGAAATACTGTAAAATAAAATATTTTCCTGTATACTTTTTATGTGTTCTTTCAACATAATTTACAACATTTAATAAATATGTTTTATTATGGCTTTTGTATGTGCAATCTCTATTCTGATATGACTGTGTCTACAGCAACAGGTAATTTCAAGCGATTTTTGCCAAACATGTTGATATTTGAGAGCACCAAAACAAACACGCCCATACCCCAACAGGAACTCCCCCCTATTTTGATAACTCCGCCCCACACGTTCGTACACAACCCTGGCAACAACTATGGCAAAATCTGCTATGACTGCCGGCCGCAGCATATTCAAGCAAAAGCCAACACAGAAAAGTTTGAAAAACTCGCCTATCAAGAAGAAACAAAGCAACCTCGGCCGTCCGATTCCCTTCCGCTCCTTGAGTTTCTCCACCGCTGGAAAGCTGCTCCAATATTTACGCGGGTACTACCTCTTGCCTGATCGTAACCCTTCTTTCTAATGTTTTATTCCTCTGAAATTTTCCTCTTTTTTTATCTGCCGTCTCTCTCTATCTATAGTCGATGCTAATATCCGTCCTGTGCACTCACTGAGCGCTCTCTTCTTCCTATCATTACTAGACACGCCCCTTGCTGCTTATTGGCTGCAAGTGTGTTTTGGGACTCGGTCCGACACTGTGGTCAAAAGCAGTGGAGGACGAAGTACACAAATCAAGTACTTGAGTAAAAGTACAGATCCGTATTATAAAATATTACTCCAGTACTCCGTTTTCAATTTTACTCGAGTGAAAGTACGAAAGTACTTGATTAAAGTACTCAGTTTTCAATTTTACTCGAGTGAAAGTACAAAAGTACTTGATTTTTTATGTACTTAATGGTTAAGTAAAAAGTACTGATAGATTAATATTTATTTTGCAGTTTTATATAGGCTACTTTTATCATTTAATTTTATATTAGCATATATTTTTTTATAATCCTACTGCTCAAAATACTTGGGATTTTCCCAAAATAACCAATAAGGAAATAATGAATGTAATAAGGAAAATATAATTAGATTTTCATGATTTTTTTCTTCTCAAACCTTGAATGTGGTGAAAAAACACCCCTGGCCAAATGCCCCCAGAGGGCATCACCTTCATTTAAAAATAAGTAGTAACGATATGTTTTATGAAATGTAGTGGAGTAAAAAGTACAATCTTACGCTTTGGAATGTAGTGGAGTAAAAGTAAATGTTACTCAAAATAAAACTACTCCAGTAAAGTACAGATACTTGAAAAATGTACTTAAGTACAGTAACGAAGTTAAACTACTTCGTTACTGTCCACCACTGGTCAAAAGCGTTTTTCAAAAATCGCTTAGTGCACCTTTAATATGTATGTATTTCAATATGTTACGACCACAATCTCTTTGCAAAGCAGTTCAGCAGTATACAGACCAATAGATCAGATTGAAGAATATAAAGGCCCCTGGGAAGATCATGCGAGAGTAGGCATCAATGACATGAGTGTTTTGGATGATACGGAGGCCTCGAAGGGTCTTCCTCTTGGCTCCTGTGGCCTCATTTGCCAAAGACAGGCACACCACCATGTGGTCCTGTTTATCTGCAGCCTCTTCAGCGGAGCCAGGGGCCTGGGTATATCCTGCCAGGCTATTGGCATCAGGCTTACTGCACGCTTCATCCAGAATCATAGTCCTTGCGTGGGATATGTCACATGTGCAGGGTAAAGGCTAAAATGGAAAAACACAAACACTTCCGTATCCATTTAGAGAACTTTTAACTTGCCTCCATTTTGTGAATATTACCTTTACATGCATTACAAACTTAAAATATTGGCTTCACAAAATCCTCCTAAAAACTTTACGTCATAGGGAAGTAAGGAAATTTCAACATTCACAGGGGCTAGTCTGTGATTTTATTGCCGCCCAAATCCAGAATGTTGGTGTTTTTCTCCTACGTACCACCCATGTAAAAATTCCCCAAAACACCAAGGCCATGTTAACAGCTATCTATTAATTCACAAGTATGTATAAATCCAAAAGTTATTTTGCAATTATTGTTTGACCACTGCCAAGCACCATACTGTGCTTCACAGTAACGTGGATGCATTTTAAAAATAGACTTTTATTTCTGAAATGCTGGAGTCCGTTTACAAGAATAATAGCCCGTTACATTACTGTTCAAATACAGCTGTTAAATTGTAAAACCTTTTTATAAATTAGGGTTTGTGTGACTGATTATTTTACTACTCTAAGTAGCCAGGTCAAATGTTACCTTACATATTTAAAGAGGACATATTTCTGATAATTTCCACATTTTTAAAATTGCATCCATATTTTGAAGGTATAAATCTAATTTAAACCACAGTGTGCCAATTTTCCCATTAATAAATGTAAATTTGTTAGACACCTTATAAAAACAATAGCTTAAATACCACAAACTGTACAAAAACTGTATGTTTTGTCAAGCTCACATAATGAAGGTGCATAAAGGCAAGTGATAGTGAAAATGACTGTTAGCAAAAAAAGGAGATTATTCGAATGTACTTGAAAATCAGTTGTGCATTTACCTTCTCCTTTGATTTGCGATCTGTCCCATCATGCACTGTGGTCAGGTAGTTTATGGCAGCATACTCAAGTACCGATAAAAAGACAAAGACGAAGCTGACCCACAGGTAAATGTCCACGGCTTTGATGTAGGAGACTCTGGGCATGGAGGCGTTCACTCCAGTGATGATGGTGGACATGGTGAGCACCGTCGTGATGCCTACAAGAAATGACAGTGAAATTTTGCTAAGAATACTGTAAGGGTTTTGACGGTTGTTGTTTTTTTTTGTCTCTATTTCATCTTCCCACCAACTACGCACTAGTGTAACACAGGGCAGAAACAAACAAAAAAAAGTTTTGTATTTTAATCCAATTTTGTGTAAAATGTCTTAAAAACATTACTTTTTGATTGGACTGCTAAGGGTACGTTTACACAACACTGATGTACTAAAAACAGAAAAGGTTTTCCGTTGCATTTTTGAAAGGTTTTGCATACAGACGACAATGTTGTTAAAACAATCCCCATTCACACAGATCCTTGAAAAAAAACGCTATACTATACATTCCAGGCCAGTGGTTAGCGATGTCACTTTGTAAAGAAACACTTTACAATAGTAATAGTATTAGCATGATGTCACCATTTTCACACATGCACATTTTTGTAGTTTACATGGAGACGTTAACAGAAAGCAATTTTTAAAAGTTTGCATTTTCAGGCTCCCAAAACACAGTTGTTATGTAAATGAATAGCTAAAACACATAATTCTTTCCCGGTTTTAATTGAAAATGGTGTCATATAAGTACCCCCAAAGTGTTAATAAAGAGATTTTATAAGTGTTAAGAAAGAGAACTGTTGGCCTGTATCCCTAAATGTTCAATAGTGTTTAAGTATTTTCTGTTTTTTAAATGCACTGGGTCTTTCTTTCCTTTCTTTCTTTAATATGTGCACAGCAGTGACGCAAGTTACATAATCAGATTACTTTTACAAGTAGGGTAGAGTGGAGGAAAACGCCCCCTATTGTTTTTTCCCAAAATAACCACTAGGTCAAGATACATTTTTGTTGTAACTATGGACTACACTGACAAGAGTGATGTATAAGTATTCACCATGAAGCTTACACTGGTGATGTACCTGAGAAGTAAGTGATCGAATTTTCAGCAGAAAGAAAAAGTGTTTTAAAGCTTGTTGTTTTGTAGAACATCACAGTTACAGTATATATTATATGAGAATAGTAAGGCCTGAAGATAGGTAGTATGTGTTATTTAAGAAAAAATATAATTATATTTTCAGAATGACATAATGTTTTGTTTTTTTTTTCAAACATAGTCTGTGGGGTAAAACGCCCCCAGGGTGCATGGCTTAATTACTGTAGTTACTCTGTTCTGAACATCAAATCCTTTGTTTTTTCCATCAAATGTATTCTAACTAGTTGGTTGAATAAAAATATTTCGACTTTATATTTAAAAATTACCTTAAGTTAGCATCAGGTAGCTAGTTAGCTAGTAATTCATAATTAATTATTTATAATATTCTTTTTAATTTAAAGCTAAAACTGCCTGTACTCTGATTTTGCTGTAAATGTATAAAGCAAATTGCTTTATCAGACTGGGGGCATTTTACGTCACCTGTGGGGCAAAACGCCCCCTTGGTACTAATTTAATTTTTGACATGAAAACTCATGACATTTTTCCTATGTGTTTATAATTTATGTCATTGTCACTAAAATATGATAATTTATCTGGACACATTTAACTTTTTTTTCACAGAAAAAAATCCACAGTCCTTAAAGGGGGGTGTTTTCACAACTCTACCCTAATTAGTAAAGTAACACATTACTTTTAAATTTACTAGAAAATATCTGTGTTACTTTTTCAAATAAGGAACACAAGTTACTTTGTTTTCCCATTTATTGACTGAGAGCTCTCCTGTTCATGTTGAGAGAAATTGGGAGTAAGTGCAGCAGCACTTTCTTCAGGTTGAGGCTTATTAATTTCACTTTTGGTGTGAAAGTGTCTTTACAGTTTCCAAAAACATAACTTTTTTTTTTGTTCTTAAAAATAAGCAAGTCCAGTTCAGGTGACAAAGAGTAACACAAAAGTAACATAATGCATTACTTTCCATAAAAATTAACTTTGACTTTTTCCCCAACACTGGTGCACTGCAGAATTTTTAATTGTAGTGGCAATTGATTTAACTTACAATGGCTGTAACAGGTATTGATGCAATGGCAATCTATTGCAGTTATTTATCAGACCTGTTCCTTGTTTTGTGTGTGTTTTGCTCCCCATGTGCCTTCCTTGCCCTTATTTGGTCCTTCCGGTTCCTGTCCCCATTTAGTTCTATTTGTTCCAGGTGTTCCTTGTTATTAGTTATCCTCCTCACCTGTCTGCCCCTCATTATCTGCCCTATTTGAGTCCTAGCCCGTTCTGTTCTTCTTTGTCCGGAATTGTATATGTCTACCCTTGCTACGTGTGTTTTCCTTGTTCCCTGGATGTGATTAAAACCTATATGTTTGAATTCCACTCCTCGTCTCCTCGCTCCTTCATCTCCGTGCTCCTCACAGTAGCGAAACGTGACAGAATTCCAGACCAAAACAGAAAAGTAAGTAGTGCCCCTTCTCCCGTGTTTTTGTTTTATAAGTCTTTTGTTTTCCATTTTGTTTCTCCCCGCCAACATGGAGGAACGACCGACGTTCATCGCCTCACCCGCTCACCTACGCGAGGGCATTTGTACCGCTCGCCCTCGCCACTCCCTGTTCTGGCTTGGGATCACATACCATTGCCCCGCGGAACTCCCAGACACCACCAACCTCGACTGGAATGAGGCGGTCATCCGGTGTCTGGAGAGCCTCCGATCCGGAGCCCCCCCCCCGGCCGGCCGCTC